ACCAGTTCCAGTAATGTGACAATTTATACATATATATTAATTATCTGCTATATATATATATATATATATATATATACATATATCGTTGTGTGCGCTAGGTGGAATATGTATGGATCCGGATCCGGACCCGGACCCGAATCTGTTAATGCCTTACTTCAGCAAATTATATGAATGTTTTTTTTTGTGTGAGTAATTAAGGGTGTTTAAGAAGTGAAATTGAGTTTGTAAAATGCATAAATATCATTTATTTAAATTTTTATTGTAAAATGTATGTACAAAATTATATAATTATGTATATATATATAGTTTGAGGAAGTCACAGAATTATATCAGGGGCCTTGTTTTCGTGCAGAGACTAAGCGAAGAAGCTGGGTTTACTCCTAATTGATTATTATTATAATTATTTTATAATTAACTAAAAGATTAATTTAAAACCTATTTAAGGAAAATAATATAAAGAAAAAGGATGAAAATAAATGACGATAATCTTTTTTTAGATAAAGTTATTAAAAAATAAAATAATTAATTTGCCATCTTTAAAAAATGGCCAATAAAACTGAACCCAAAAATAATCACTCATGAAGCCCAGCCCGAAACCTCTCCACGTAACCTTCCCGCCGTTGGAAGCCGTTAGGGTTGATCGAGATTACCACCGATCGGAGAAATTTTCAGTGTCCAGATCTGCAATTAGAGTGCAACAAGATGGTTGGTATGTATCACTGGGTTTCGATATTGACCGTTGATTCATGTTTGGAGTGGTCTAGTTGTCTATTTACGTCGGATTTTCTCTTGGGCGGTGTTTAGGAACGCAATCGGAGAAAGAAGAGAAAGTTTCATTGGAGCTCACTGAAGAAATCCTTCAAAGCATGGAAGTCGGCATGGTTTTTAGAGATTATGTAATTTCTGCTTTCTTCAATAATTTTTATTGAAAAATGCTTGAAACATGTTTGCTTTCTTCTCAATTAGTCAAAGTTTAGGTGGATTTTATTTTTCATTATCTAAATTTTTTATTACAATTACTTTTTTTTTCATGTTGCGATTTTGGTTTTACAGAATTGTAGGATCAGTTCGATGGATTTCCATAGAACGTCAAGTTATCTGGTCACTGCTAGTGATGATGACTCCATTCGTCTATATGATGTTTCCAGCGCGACGTACGTTTCCTGTTTTATTAGTTGAATATGATTCTGTTCTAGTTTTCCACTGCTAGAAACTTGGTGCTCAACTTGCTCTTTTTTTTGGGCATTGCTTTATCGGGAAATATTCCTATGTTTAGCTAGCCGATTTCTGTATTTTGTTTGCCTTTCAATTCTATTACAAATTCATTGCCCACTGGCTGGTCTCAAAACATTTATTCAGGGAAATTGGATGCTCATAACTTAAGATAGGCTTGGCTCAAATGTGAATAAGAAAAACAATAGGTTGGGACATCTTTTTGCGAATTTGGAGTATTTCTGGCAATGGTATAGAAGCGGCTGACTGAAATTCTCAAGAGACAAAATCACCGGGTGTTAGTCTTGGTAGTTTTATCCCAGGTTTAACTTTGTGGGCTATTAGTCCTGCTTTCCTTAACCCAAAAAATTGTGAAAGGGACAATTTCCTTTATAGATTGGGCTGTTGGCTCATGTTCTGAGATTTGTTGAATCTGTATTCTCCATGACTAGCCCTTTAGATGTAACTGTTTCATAATCTTTTATATTTCCTTATTTCCAGGTGTTTGAAGACAATAAATAGCAAAAAGTATGGGGTTGAGCTTGTTTGCTTTACCTCCCACCCTACAACAGTTATATACTCGTCAAAAAATGGTTGGGATGGTATGTTCTCTTTCTAAAACTTGTGTTGCACTGATTAGTGAAAACCATTTATTACAAATTGTTTCTTTTTCTTCCAGAGTCTCTTCGGCTTCTCTCTTTGCATGATAACAAATACTTGCGATATTTTAGGGGTCATCATGACAGGTTTGGAAGATGATGCTAGATTGAGTTTTCTGTGCGTTTATCTAGAAGTTACTGCTTTTGCCAAACTGATTGTAGCATGTAAATATTTCCGTTACCCTTTTTGTTTGTTCTAGAGTGGTTTCGCTTAGCTTGTGTTCTCGCAAAGAATGCTTTATCTCTGGTTCTCTTGATAGAACTGTTCTGCTTTGGGATCAAAGGGCAGAAAAATGTCAGGTGATTCCTTGTCAATATAGGCTAATTTCATGCATGTTTTCTTTTAAACCACATTTCTTGATACTGTGGTATTAGGGTCTTTTACATGTCCAAGGAAGACCTGCTACAGCATATGATGATCAAGGACTAGTCTTTGCAATTGCATTTGGTGGATGCATAAGAATGTTTGATGCTCGCATGTATGAAAAGGTTTGTGAAAGATGTTGGAAATGTTAAGAGCTTTAGCTGTTTGTATTTTTCTTTTATGTTTGTTCATATTGAATTTTACCGCTGACTTGGAAGCTTGGACCATTTTAGGGCCCTTTTGAAATTTTTTCTGTGGGAAATGATTTTTCTGGTGCGAATGTCGTGAAGTTCAGTAGTGATGGAAGACTTATGCTTCTAACAACTACAAATGGGCGCATTCATGTACTTGATTCATTTCGTGGAACACTGGTTAGTTACTGCCTTCTCCTCCTTTTCGTTTCTTTATCTTCCCCCTTCACTTCCAGTCCAGCTTCACATAAATTGCAAAGTGTCAATGCTCAGGATCATTCTTTTTGATGTCTTTCCATGGTCCTTGTGGTTACAGTTGTCCACATACAATGTGAAGCCGGTTTCTAGCAATTCTACGTTAGATGCTTCTTTCAGCCCTGAGGGCATGTTTGTTATATCAGGTACTGTAATTTCCTTTTCACGCAAATAACTTCCTCTCTGATTATGTATGATTAGAACGTTGGGAAGAATACCTATTTTACATCTCTGATTAGAACATTAAGGAAATATTTGTGTGTCTCTAAAGAATGCCATTTAGATTCTTTGTTTTTAATCTTTTTGCAGGCACAGGTGACGGTAGTGTCTATGCATGGAACGTTCGGAGTGGAAAAGAAGTATGACAAGCATCACTTATTGATTATCATGCATTGTGCTATCTCACACACGTGTAGACATACACACATATATATCATGATTCCTTTCTAATATTTATGTTGGTCATTATATTATTGTTCAGAGTTCCATGTCTACAACCGTGAGAGCAATTGGTAATCTTCTTTTTATTGTTTCGTCCAGGTTGCAACTTGGATGGGCCCCAAAACAGAGCCTCCTGTCATAAGATGGGCTCCCGGAAGTCTAATGTTTGTAACTGGCTCTTCTGAACTGTCTTTTTTCGTTCCGGACTTGTCTAAATTGGCAGCATATGCTGGAAGGAAATAGGATTTCCATAGCTAGCAACTCTGAAGCACGAAAGTTTAGAAGGTGCTCCTTTTGTGTGGTATAGGAAGACTTAGTCCGCATATTAAGTTGTTTAAGTTATTCCATTCGCTTTTGAGAGAGCTTGCAGATGTTCGGGTTGCGAACCTTCCTACCATATAACATCAAAATCCCTCTACCATGTAACATCGGAATGACTTGGTAGAGAATGACCGGTAGCTCGGATAAAAAATACTAAGTTTCCACAACCTGATCTTTGGGTCAGTTCTTGCAGGCTATAAGTTTTGCCTGCCTTGTCCTTGGAAAAAAATTAGGGTAACTGACTATCAAGTTCATTGTACTTGTACAGTCAGGAGGTTAATTACTGTAGTTTAGTCTCTGTGATACAAAGAATAATGTATATTCCATGTATATATCACATCATCCAAAAAGACTTTCTTTAATTGTCATTTTATTTCAATTATATACTCTTATTTATATCCTGTAATTATTTATTTATATTCTATAAAATTAAAATTAGAAACAAACTGAGTATTGAAAATTAAAAGGCAAGAATTAAATAACAATGTGATATGAATTGAATCAAATGCAACATTACTAAGATGATTTTATTAAAGAAAGTAAAATGTGTTTTGAGGCCTACACTTGTTTAGTTAGACAGCATTAAATACATTTAAAAAATATTTATTAATAAGAGAGTGCAATTCATTCACATTTCTTATATTCGTAAAAACTTAATTTAACAAAATTTAGTGATAATTTGAGCAATCTGTAATTAATTTATATTGTAAATTTTAAAAATATTATTAAAATAATAATTGACTAAATATATATATATATATATGCGATGAGTGTAGAATGGGCAGAAACGAAGTGAAAATAAAAAAGGAAAAGAAACCAACTAGGAAAAAGAAGCCTTTGCTTACATTTTCACAAAAGAAGGAGCAAGCGTGATGATGCCCACATTTTGCTGCTATAGGACATAACGTACTTGAACCCTCAAAAAGCTTTCAAGATCTTCTTCGATCTACAACACCCATCTAGATATATATATATATATATATAATATGATACGTTTATTACTTTTTTCTAGAGTATTTACTTCTATTTTGATCTTCAATAAAAAGGTGGAGAAGTTCAAAATAGGAAACACAAAATAAACTACTTTGACCAATTAACCCAAAATCTTAAACGAGTTTTATATTGTAATCTGTCCCTGATGCTTAAGTTTTACTATGTTAAAACGTGATTAATTAGTTTTAATATTATATTAGCTAATTGATTGAAGTGATTATTTTAAAATTTTAACATGAGAATGAGATAGATATACCTTATTCATTGATCCACTGCTCCCTCGCCCAGTTGCAGAAAACGACAATAGTGTTGATGCAGAGGCAGAAGGTGAGAAAATATGTCAAACCCAAATGAAGGAAGGTCGGGCATGATCCATTCAAGATCTTGGCGATGGGGACCCTTTTTAATTTTTGAATATTACGAAATTTATTACAGGCCACAGACTATATCTATATATGGCTTACCTTTCCATGCTCAAACTAACCAGCAAAATGTACCAATCAAAGTAAACAGAGTTCGGTTTGTTGAATGTCTCTGCTTGCCTCCATCATCACATGAAAGTACTACTGTACTGTGTTAGATTTTTAATATATGCATACTTACATACATACATACATACATATATATATTAGAAATTTTGAGATTTTTAATGATTTTTATGTGCCATCCGAGTTCCTTGTTTATCAAAGGAAAGTGCTGATTCTTTTTTCTAATCTCTAATGTTTTACATTTATTTCAAAAGTTCAATTTTTATTTATTTAATAATAGAAAAGTAAAATAATTAAAATATATTTTTAGAGATTTTAAAAAATAACTCATTTTAGATTTAAAGTAATTAAAAAATCAAATTAAAGGAAACAAATTTACTTTGTGTAAACATAAGCTAATTTTTTAAATTTTTTACTTATTTTAAAATTTAAAATAATATGATGTTTAAAATCTTCATATATAACTTTTAACTATTTTATTTTTTTCGTTGAAAAAAGTTGAAAACTAAACTTTTAAATCAGATATAAAAGATTAGAATTCAAACTGTGAAAGTAAATAAAATTAAAGATTAAACCGTAAAAAGTGTTAAATTTTAAAAAATAATTTAATAGTTTTTTTTTTTTTTTTAAAAAAAGAAAAGTGATAGAGAGAGAAAAGGCTGGTTAAGAATAATGAAAAATTGGGCCCAGCCCAGAAGTAACTTTTTGAAGGACAAGCTAATAATATGCGCTATTCACGATGGACAACTAACACTTACATATATGTATATATATATATGTTTATATACTTTGGTTCAAACTTCAAAACTTCTACTTCTTGTTTCTTTAATCATTTTTCCCTAAAAGTATATGCACTTTGGCTCTCATATGCGTGCATGTACTTATAACCTATACATACACACACGCACACGCACACGCACACGCACACGTGTCATACGAATATGTTTTATGCATATATACACACCCACATGATACGCATTAAATTACAGAAAATTCTCCGAATTTTATTAAGTCTAATAATAAATAGACTTATTAGTTCACAAAATTATATAATATTATCATATATAAGAATATATTATATATCTATACTTTCTTCTTCTTTACTTGAGCTTCCGTTGAATACGATACCATGAAAAAGGCCCAACTTAACCCATTATCAGGATCACCCCATGGTCCCACCTACAATCTCTGTCCACAAATTTAATTCGCTCACGCTCTATTCAAGCGCGTATGCTGCAGGCCACTCCAGTCTCCATCAATTTTTCAAACTAGTTTCAACATTAATGCCAAATAGAATATTACAGTAATTTTTTAAACATATTTATCATTAATTATTAATAATATAATTTCTAATAAATATAATCTATAACCCTAATTTACCCTCATAAAAAAATAAAGTATTTATAAATCTAATAAATAAATAGTGAAAGGATATAGTAAATTATATGAATTTTTACTCAAAAAATGAATATTAACCACTAAATATATCATTTTTAAGAGTATTCATTAAGAATTTATAAAAAAATTTATAAGTAATTAATTTAGTTAAAATTTAATTAAAATCAATTTGAAGTGTATATAAATACAGTTATAAATTCTATAATTTTTTAGTATGAAATAGTTTTTTATTTGATAATTAAAAGAAAATAATATACCCATGAAACTAAGCAATGGTTTTAGCTAGAGGCCAGATTATCTTTGAACTAACATGATAAAATGGAAATAAGACATAATTAGCGCATAAAATCCAGATTATAAAATTATAATCAACATACCATGATAAGTAAATAAAATGACATTAGTTGTAGTGCAGTTTAATTAACTAGCTACCTAGAGAGTAGTATGTGTACATGGTATATATATATATATATATATATATATATATATATATATATATAGTCAGAGAGGATCCGGTGATCGGCCTGTGTAGGTATTGAGGCTAAGCTCAAGAGAAGCATGAGAACCGCCATAATAATTGCCGTCATCGGGCCGATACCAGCCGCGGTAGTAGCCGCCGGTCGATGGGCTTGGCCTGCAAAATCCGCCATTGATGTGATCTTCGCCATGCATGGGGAAGAGAGGCAGCGTTTCCTTCTCCTGATAATAACTGCTACCACCTTCTTCTTCTTGCTCATCTTCTTCCTCTTCCTCTTCTTCTTCTTCAATAGTTTCAGTGAGGACTGATTTCCTCTTCTCGAAGAAGTTGTAAGACGTTGAGTAGTGATCTATGCTTACCCAATGGTGGTTTAGGGGTCCGCCGTTGCCAGAAGCTACACTGCTTCCTGTTGGTGATATTGAGCAATCCTGGTTTTACCGAAAAGAAAAAAAAAACAAACAAAAAGAAAAAAAGACAAAAAAGCAGATAAAGAAGAGAAAATTTTTGGATTAATCAGGGAAAATAAGGTGTTTTTGTAGAGAGAAAATGAAGGGTAATTTTTTTTTTCTTTCTTCCTTTAATAGGCCTTTCAAACGATTGAAGACGATTGTCTTGCTTGGTCTCCTTCTTTTTGTCTTATATACATATAAACAAATATAACAATCTTCATATACGTTTAACTTATACCCTACTCAATATAAGTGTAAAATCCACGTAAGAAATTGGCTCCCTCTGTTTAACAATCTTGAAAACGTGCTCCCCAACTTCTTGTAGAATTTTTTCCGAAAGAAAAAAGTTTCATTTTTTCTTCTTCCTTGTTTAAATCATTATTATTTTAATTGTCGCTTACCCTAAAACGGTTCTCCATGGTAACAGATCCATATGCATAGTTTCCCATTTGAGCACCAGGAGCAGTAAGTACACCAGCCGAAGCGGGAATTCCAGAAGAATAACCTGCAAAAAAAACCCACATAAAACGAAACAGAAAAAGGAAAAACCCTTTCAACCAAACCCATTGGAAATTATGAAAAGGAGGAAAACAGGTCTATATACATACCTATATATATGCACACACACACACACACGTATAGGAAGGAAAGAAAAGGAAAGGAAAAACATATGAACTGAACAAGGAGATCAAACATGAAATAAGGTGATCAAGGAAAAAGAGAGACGGAGAGAGGGAAGAAGAATTACTACTTGTGTTAGAGAACTTGTGGTGAAGGGAGTCCTGATCGTTGATGTTTGGTTTCCGGACGCCATTGTTGTGAGCTTGTGAGTGCGGCAGAGAAGGTCTTTGCATGGGGAGCAGTACATGTTCAGACGACATCGTAGTGTTTGAGGAGTTGGTGAACCTCTTCTTCTGTCTCTCGCGAGCCTTGTGGTTCTGAAACCAGTAAAAGACGTTCTTGCCCTCGATCTTCCCATACTGTCTGAGCCTGGCAGAGATCCTCTGAATCTGGTCTGCAGTCGGCGACCTGACTCCGCTGTTGTAGTAAAGGTCCTTCAAGATCCTAATCTGATCACTCGTGGGTGTCCACCGCGTACTGCTCTGCCTGCACAGAAAGTTCCCGCCTCCTCCTGTTTTGTTCCCTCCACTGTCCTCGTTCAGTTGCTGATGAGCTTCCATTGCTGGATTTCAAAGCTGATAATCTTATATATCCCAGAGATAGAGAGAAGGAGAGAGGGAAAAGTGGTTTGAAGAGGCAGAAAAAATAGAAGGGGGATTAGGGTTAATATAAGAGAAAAAAGAAGGGGGAAACTAAAGGGGCATGCACATGGAGGGATGAAAGTGAAAGGATATGATCTGATGAGAGAAATATCTGGTAGAGAAGGACTGAAGTTGACAGAGAAGGGTTCATAAAAAGGGAAGGGACAAAAGAGGGCATAGAAAGGGAGGGTATCAGTGGAATTACTTGAATGAAAAGGCATGATGACGAGGTATGATTAAGCAGCTTTGTGAGAGAGAGAGACACAATATATATAATATATACAAACATATATCATGAAATTATATATATAATCAGTTACATAGAACTCAATAGAAAGAAAGAAGGAAGGAGCGAGCTTGCTTTTTGAATGAATGAATGAATGAATGTATATATTTTCTGTGTGTATTTCTTGGAGCTTATAAGCCATGGGGGTCCTCCTTTCAATGAAGACCACACGGTTTCTCTTTTTCTACAGACTTAAAACACTAGACATGCAATCAAAAGTACAAGATGATATTGTTATTATATTTATAATAATATTCCACTGTACATACACTTCTCGTAAAGGGGTAAAAATGTAATTTAACTGGCTTTTGATGATGTTAGAGGTTTAGCCCTGTAGCTTCCCAGCTTTATACCTTCATCTCTTTTACCTTCTCTGGGTCCCAGTTAAAGGGAGGTATAATCATAATATCTTATCGTAGAATTGTAGATCATCTTGGACCCAATTATTTCAGATTTCTGTAATAAGTAGTTCTTTCAGCAATATATGCTATATTATATAATATACACACATATACATACACATACACATATATACTCACACATAAGTGACATGCTATATCAGTTACTGGCTACGGTATACCAGTATCTTGCATATCTTTACGTCGCAATCTTTTCTTTAGTGTTTCTGTTTTCTTTTTCAGAGCTTTAAGTGAAGATATAGTATGTATACTATGTCATTACCCACATACTATACATATATCTATACAAGGATCTGGTCCCCCTCTGAGTTATATGTGTATAGATAAATATATACATATACATAGAGACATAGGATATACAGAGTCTTAGAGTGGAAAGTAGTAGCTAGGTAGCTACTTATTTTGGGGATCATGGACATTATCAGCTTGTGTTCGTAACAGAGGATATCGCATCTCTATTTCCTTTAAAAAAAAAAAGTAGTCATTTCACGATCATCAACAAGCTGTTTCAAGTCTCTGTGTGTGTGTATATATATATATATTATATTGTATGAATATTCGGTGGTAGTGTTTTATTGAATATTCTCGATAGATATTCTTTTTTTATCGTTAGTGTTATATTTATAATTTTAGATTCATTTTGTTTATGTATGTAATAACATACACACACACACACACACTCTCCAGTGGAGCATATGTATAGGCATAAATAATATATAACTATCCAGCACTAATTTAGTTTGCTTTATAAACTATTATAAGTTCAAACTGAATTATGACTTAGTGTATGTTTACTTAACAATTGTGTTATATATATATATATATATATATCAACTTATTGATATAGTTGTTTTAATTTTCTAGTAATTAAATATTAAAATGGTTACGGATTCCAATTGTACTATGTTTTTAAGTGTTTTTGTTTAGAAATTGTATTATATTTTATTATAATTGATGTTCATATATTAACTAATTGATAAATATATAAATTTTAATTTTAAAAAAAATTATAATATTGTATAACATTATCAATTGAATCAATCACAATATAAAATAGAGAATTACATAACTATATTAAAAAGATCCAACTCATAAAATCGTATTTAGGTAACAAGTTTTTATCTAGATGGCAGGTACAAATCTCCTCGTATAATAACTTGTAGTTTCGAACCGAATTGAATATTTTTATGCATTCTCGATAAAAAATTGTGTTGTGATGGTTGTATATATATAATCTAAATAATAAAATATACATTTCTAGTTAAAAATATATATATATTGATTTGCTAGTATATAGAGTTTGAGTTGGTTGATATATTTTAAAATTTGAATGTTATTTATAATTGATTAATATGATCATATTTGCTTAAAAAATAAATGGTAAGTAATTATTTAAAATTTCTCTTATTTTATCATAAAAATATTATATATATATATATATATATATTATAAGTCCACAATAGATGTTGTAGTGGGATAGAACATAGAATCTCAAATATCTTTAAAAGACATTCATTTTTAAAAATTGTAAAAAAAAAATATTATATATTTTGGATGTTTAAAAAATACATTTTTAAATACTATATATATTGGATATATAGTTGGAAAATAACAAAATATTAAATGAAAAAAATTATCATTATAATTTGTAATATACATATATATATATTTATTAAAAAAAATATAAAGATAATTAGAAAATTAGCCTAAAAATGACTTAATTCCATGACCTAAAAGAGGAAGGAAAGTCATGGAAGCATGGATAATAGTTGTACTAAGAAGATTATCTGAATAGAAATCATAATCCAATCCAAATCCATTCCACGACCATTTTAATCATCTCTCTCTTGACTGTAAATAGTACTAAATCTCACAATATATATATATATATATATATGAAGCCAAAGTAATTGGTAATTAGAATCAACGGTTAAGAAGGTGCAGTTCGGGTATGATAAAAAAACCATTGAATCTAATGATCCACAAAAATTATTTAAAAAAGAAAGAAAAAAGGGGATTGAAAGGAAATGAAAAAAAGTGGAAAAGCGCAAAAGGAATTTCACTGTCAATATAATAATTATGTTACTCTGCAGTCCCTTGAGCCGCTGAGCAAAGGTAGAAGCACACTACCCAAAGATAAATGAACAAATAAATAAATACACATATATCTATATATAATTTGATGAGTCGTGTAGCTTTTGATATTTGTACACCCTCCAAACCCCAAGCAATTAAGCCTTCAATGGAATCTTCCACAATCCATGCAATGTCTCCCTTGTTTTTAGCTTTACCATGATTATCCCTTACTATTGTTTTTTTGAAAATGGGTATTAATGATAAATATATGTATGTGTGTGTATGTATATATATATATATATATATAGAGAGAGAGAGAGAGAGAGAGAGGTGTTGATCTCCTTGAATTCAAGCTCGGTAACAGTCTGCTAATAATTCCTCCTTTTTCTTGTATAAATTTCTGGCAGATGCAGTGGCAAAGCAATTCAACTTTTTCAGAGAGATGATCCCTCTTATTTTTCTCTGATTTTGACACCACCATCATCATCACATTTTCCTTTCATTATCCTCCATTTATTATTATTTTTAGAAAATATATTTTTAAATTAATTAATTAATTAATTTTAATTTATATATATATATATATATATATATATATATATATAGAGAAAGCTGGGGAGGGGGGCTGAGGTAGAAGCCCCTTTCTTTCGGGTAATCATCTAATTTTCTTCACCCATATCTTTGCACTTAACATCACAATATATTTCTACCTATATATCTCCCTACCCTCCCTACCCTCACTGTCATTTTCTCTCTTATCAATTCATTTTATGACAATTTTCTTTAACTAAATTAAATTCGAATTTTTATTTCAATATACTTACTTTAAATTTTTTTTTTTATTAAAAATATCGAATTCCTATAGATTTTTTTTTTTTTTTTTTTTGAGGGGGTTAAAAAATACTCTTGGGTTATCCTCATTGAATGTCTAATTTTATTATCTTGCTATGTATATAACATAATTAATAGATGTATAAATTTACTATATACACACAGTCACATAAAATATTAAAAACAATGTGCCTGCTTCATATTTACAAAGTCTCATAACTAAAATACCATTCACGTTCAAGTCACCTGATCACCAGAATATAAAAAATAATAATAATAATAATAAAGCAAAGATAAAATTTTTTACAAAATCATGTTCACCCGGACAAGGACATACAACACCAAAATGCCAACGATTTTCATCTCCTAATTTCGATCAATATCAATAACCACAGCTATATGTATAGTTTACAAAGTTTAAACTGAACTAGGAGAAGATTTATGAAACCCAAATCATATCCCCATATGGCTATTTTATAGGTTAAACTGCACAAAATCCAAATAAGATAGAATGTCCACACGATGAAAAGATTAGTTATCGACATCCATTCTGCCCCTTCCCCTATTTCCAGGTCCTCTTCTACTCCGGCTCGAGTAATGGAGTGCAGATTGAAAATCACCTCTCTCGGCCGATCCTCTATATTCAAACTTACCATCTCTTCTTGAATGCGGCCTTCTAACGTGGTGCAGGCGCTCAGAATTTGGAGATTTTAACCTCTGTTTCTTGTCCACTTCATAGGGCAATGGTTGAATCCCTTGCAAATCAGGTTCTGGAGTAAAGCCAAATGGCTGTTTGGATTCATCCATTTTTCTAAATGTGATCGATATCCTGTAAAAAATGGAAGACAAAAAGCAATATAGATGAGGATGAATCGTCAGTACACGCAGCTTATTGGAGAATAAAAGAGTAACTATCGAGTTTCAAATGGTACCTTTTTGCAGGAACCGCAGGCACGCAGTGCTTAGCCACGTCAGCCCCATTTCCTTGTAAAACAAGAACCGATCTGAAAACAGTAAATGCTGACTCTTAGGGTTTTTCAATCAATTGTGATATCGACCAATCAATGAACATTCTAGATCAGAACATGAAATGCAAGAAACAGCAAACATAAGATAAAAAAAGGCAAGAAAAGAAGTTCACATACCCCAGGGGCAGAGGTATTGCAATTGAACCAGCAAACTCACCAGGACCCAAAACCTTTAAATTCGATCCAAAAACTATATTGCATTCGCTAAGAAACGACACAGTACAGAACGGTCGGACAAAATCATGGTTGTCAATATGGGGAGGTATACAGTCACCTTCTTCGTAAATGTTAACAATACAACTGTCAGGCACACAAGTTGGAGGGAGCACATGCCATTTCACTAGCCTTCGAATTATCACCTTAAAAAGATGAGGTAAAGGATCTACTTCTTCATTTTTCAGAATGCCTGGTGGATTTCCATTTTTATCCTGTAATGATAACATAACTTTGTATAAGCACTTTACCCCGATAGTCAATTGGCGTACATTCGTTTTGGACAACGACATGACACGTGAAAGCTAAGACTATCTTATTTATATTGAAAAACAAAAAACCGAAAGAATAAGGACTTCTTACTGTTGCATAATTGTAACAGCAACCAAATTGGATAGTGACACGTCCTTTGCCTCTCATCCACTTATTTGGTGCAGAATATGTGCGTCCTGAAAATAGAAGAAATATATGTCTAAGATTACATATGGCATCACGCAAGCAGGACACGTCTGACTTAATGAAAATCGGATATTGCATGGTTATAACCCAAAAAGGAATATCTATTCACCAAAAGAAGTGAATATTAATGTAGTATTGTGGAATTTGGTAAATATGACTTGTCCAATCAAGCATCGATGCACATCCGAAGAATTAAAAATCCTTCAGTAACTGACATAAATATATTCAAGGTCACATGCAATAGGAAAAATTTTCAGATCAATTGTAGCCTAAATAGGATCAGATCATGCATGATTCGCAAATTTAACCATAATAGTCAGAAGATATTGACGTACGTATAAGCAAGTACTGCTAAATATTAACAGGGCAACCCCATACCAGAATATTACTCAAGCTCAAAGGATATAGAAACACGAACAAATAATTAGTTCATGATCATCGAAACATAAGGCCATCTATCACCTACACTAGCAGGTAATATAGACTGAAACACGAACAAATAATTAGTTCATAATGACTGAAACAAAAGGTTGTCTACTAGCATAACTAACCTTTGAGTTCTCCTTTTCTTCCCCTCTCCTGAAGTGAATAAACAAAATCAACTATTCTCTTCTGCTCAGCAGCACTAAAGACCCCTGTGTGCAGCTCAAGTCCCTCAAGAATGTTAACAAGTTTCCCTTTAACCCTCTCCAAACATATGAAATCTTTCTTCCTGTTCACATTCATGAAACGAATGTGCTCTCTCTGTTCAAATGACAACTTAGGCTTCTCAACAGAATTCGATATCCTCAACTCCCCAGTTGAAGAATTGATATCAACCACCCGTTTGTTAAATTCATGCCTCTCATCTCCTTCCTCAAGCTCGTCTTCTTGTGCCATGTCAGCCCAAGACATTCTGGGACTTGGGGTTTCAGTCAGAGGTGATTCTGAATTTGGCTCCAACAACCGGCTTGCCCCCTCTTTCCAACTCTCTAAGGAAAAGGTGTCAGCATCTGCCTCATGTTTACAACTTCCCGGAGAGCTGCTACCATCACAATTCTCGACTCTTTCTTTACATTCCACAATGTTTGAGGTTGAAGAAGAAGCTCCCTTCCCATCTGCATTAGCAAGTTTTGCATCATCATCAAGTTCTACAATCCCATACATATTATATGACACCATCAATATTCAAATAAGAAAATCTACATAACCAAACGAAAATTTGATAACCCCAGGATTCAGTATGACAAGCACAAGTAAAAAAAATTGAATGGAACATATGAATTATCATAAAGACGGCCCGGAATTGTTCTATCCATGTACAAAAAGACGGAATTTACAAGTACATGCAAAAAAAATAATAATAACCAATTATGAAGAGAGCGACTATCTCCAGCAAACCGAAACCCTAGAGTTCCCAAGTTCGTTTAAAAATCAAGGCACATACACTCATCAAACAAATAACCATTACAAGGTCATATAAATTCAGATACCTAAGAGACAAAATAAAACACTGACCTTGAATATACAAATTATCTAGTTAATTTCCTAGAAAAAAAAATATAACCAGAGACAAAATAATAGTAGTTCCCTTCCCTCTAGACCTAAGATCTTTTCTTTTTTCCTATAAAAAAAACAGAAGGCGGTACCTTGGCCAAGAGAGCGGATGCGATCAGAGAGAATTCGAGTGCAATCTTGGCAGAGGTCTCTCGAGAGGAAAGGGAGCCACACCGTCAGAAACTCCGATGCGATCCTGAGTTCGGAGGGCTGGTACTGGAGAAGAAACGGGTCGTCCGATTTGAGTCGAGCAAGATCGTCCATGGTGAGTGAACTCGAAGCGAGCGAATCTCTCAACGAGGAACAGAAGCGACAGAGATTAACAGCTACGATGCGTAAAAATCGCACGGTGACGAGTAACGACTAACGAAAGCAGAGAAGGGTAGAAGAGATATATATATTAAGCGTCCCGTTGATGTGGCTGAGCAAGCAGCAGCTCCGAATCCGTGATGGTTAAGTTTGGCCACCGCTTAGGAAACTAAATAGGGGTACTTTTGTCTTTTCATAAAATACCCCTAATTAATTATTTTTTAAAAACTTTTTCTTCCTTATTTTCGTAATTTAATTATTTAATTAACCCAATGGCAATTCTTTTTAACTACCCCATCTTATCTAATTAATCCACTCACAGTGAAATACTTTTTTTCACCCACACAAAAAAAAAAAAAAAGCCCAATAAATTTATTGAAATTTAGCATAATTATTTTAATAGTACGTTCATGAAATAAATTTTTAATTTTATTAAATTTATTTTCAATATTTTTTTTATAAAATATCTTTAATGAATAATTAGGAATAGATTTGCAATTAGTTGGATGCAAATCCCAAAATGCATAAATCAGAAGTCACAAAATTAAAATTTTATATCAGATCGGGTTTGGCAAGAGTACCAATTTTGCCGAACTAGCATAAATGCAACTAAAAACGAAAATCAAACTAGAAAATGTTTAATTGGCAACTGAGAAAGTTGAACTAAATGTTTCTTTTACTTATTTTTATTATTTTTATTTATTAAATATGACGTGGAAGTAAATGTTTGGACATCCACATGAGTAGATCTATGGACGCCCGTACATCATATAATTTCCCTACCCAAGATAATACGATAATAAAAGCTTATCCACCTTAGAGTGTTGCTTCACTCTGCCGCAAGCAATGTCGTCAAACATCCTCCGCTCACTACTTCCCTACTCACCCCAATCCAACACCTCCATCCTCCTAAAACCTTCAACAGCCGCCAAAACACTGACCCAGATTCCCTTACCCTGCCGCCATCGACAGCCATTCAAGATCAATTCAACTAACAGTGATACCAACAGAAACGACTTGCCGCCGCCGAAGGTAACACCGCCAGAGACTGTGGAAATTAAGTTCAGAAGAGGTGCGAGGAGGCGGCGGTTGAGGGAGGATGGTGCTGGCGACGGGCAACCATTCTCAAAGAAGGCTCAAGCTCCTGACCCTGCACCAAAGAAATGGGAAGATATGAGCCTGGCGGAGAAGACCATGGAGCTCTACGTGGGGGAAAAGGGCGTGCTTTTCTGGCTCAACAAGTTTGCTTATGCTTCGATCTTTATTGTGATAGGAGGTTGGATTCTGTTCCGATTTGTAGGGCCTTCGCTCAATCTTTACCAATTGGATACTCCTCCTGTGTCTCCTTCTACCATGTTCAAAGGTTCATGATATTCTGGCTTCTTGAACCCTGTTGGTTTAGTGTGCGGTTGTGGATTTTCTGACAGATTTTCGGAAATTGTTTTGATAATAGAAAATAAATCTATTAGTTTATAATGAATCCGACCAAGAAATACATGCATTTGCATATCAAATCTTGGCAATAGCGTTAGTAAAGAAACTATGCAAATCAAACCATGCAATCATTATTCACTCACTATAAGAATTCGATAGATGACTGAAATTCAAGCTATGGCCCAAAGGGATCAAAATACAATTGCAGCTAATGTCTTGAATGGCTAATTAGCTATCATGTAAACCACAAGATGCCTGCCGATAAAAGACTCTCAATTTTCCTTTTGGCAACATAATACATAAAGAAAAACCAACAAAGAATCTCAGCTAGTAGCATGAAGACTCCATGTGGGCTGCAACTACGCTGCGCTTACAGGCTGAGGTGCTGCATCTCTTTGAGTCTTACACCTGAAGAAGAAACACTTACATCATTCATTCTAACTTTATGCAATAGTGTGGAATTCAATGTTTCCACAAATATTCCACACAAAAAAAAGGTTTCAGCAAATATTCTAAAAGTTTCAGAAAGGAAGCAGAAGCCAACAAGAATCAACTCCTTAAGCAGATGATAATGGTTGCTGTATATAATTAGTTTGTCAACTATAATTTGAAGCTCAGTATTTATCTCCTGCAATAAGTTCAAAATTTTGCTCCAAAGGAGGAAGAAATTATCTTGTGTTCAGAAAAGCCACCATCAATGAAGATTTTTACCAAACCACCAACCTTCATTTGCAGTCCGCATGCAACATTCAACTATAACTTCACTGAATCTTTTGTTACAGTAAGAAATATTTCACATAAATTCTACAAAATTTTATCAGTGTTCTGTAGAAAGCTGAAGAAATTCTACCTATTGCATTGCGATCGAGATGCATAATTATGATTATTGCAATTTGCACACATCCAATCTCCACTACGCCATTGCTTTGCCCTGTTGATTAGAAAAGGGAATCCTCAGAAAGTTCAAAAAAATAAATGAAGCAATATTCAAATCCAATCCTGGAGAACATAGTATACCTTCAACAAAAGCCAGATGCCAGAATAAAAAGTCCTAGGTACATAAATATATAAGTGAATGAAACAACTCAATCCAAATTTACCCTTTTCCAAGGAGTGTTGGTGTAGTTGCTGGAGGTGGAAATAGAATAGGTGCCTGCCAAGTTGGACCAACACTTGCATTGAGATTGGGATAAGGAGCACAAAATCCCTGCTTTGGGTCACTATTGGCTGTACCAATTTGGTCAAACCCTGGATATGATTGCTGTAGCTCATTTGTCTTGAATCCAACGGGAGAAGTAAAAGAAAAAATAAAATAATGAGAACACAGTGAAAAATATCCCTAGGCCATTAATTAAAATGCCACCGAGAAAATAATCCCATACATATCCTGAGTTTAGTCTTTTATTATCCCAATCATGAGCAAACTCTTCTGATGCTAATCTCTTCATTCCAAGAGCTGGAGAAAATGTAAGAAATCAATCTCAGCTAATGAACTCATTCCAGAATATAACACATACCAGATGTTAACTAAAAAATATTAGTTTCATGATAATGAAATCAGAAGAAAGTTATAACAGAAACTTTATGAGAACAAATACAGAAACATGTAGGCTTTACAAAGGATAAGCATACCCAGAGGTCGAGTATATGGTAGGAAAAAGAAAAACAGCATTGCTTTGAAGAGGATAGTACCTGGTGGTATAGAGGCATTGCAATTTTTACACTGCAAGGGAAAAAAACAGTAATCAATGAGTACTGGGATATGTAACATTTTCAACCATCCAAAAAGAAAATGTTTGAATCTCTATGTTACCTGTGAGCGTGATGAGTAATTATGGAAGCCACAATTGCATATCCAGTCACCATTTCGCCAGCCCTTGGGAACAGAGAGAGGCTGACTGGCATGATTAGAATATGGAAGTCCAGAATTCTGGTTTCCACCTAACGACCAAGTAGAAGCTGTCTGAAATCCATATTTATCAGCCCCTCCCACGGACCAGTTGGAGCTCAAAGGAAGTGGCTGTTGTAGAGCACCATTGCCTACAAATCCGCTATTCATCTTTTGTTCCAATAATCCAGAGGCCCTGGCAAAATAATGTGAATAAGTTGGAAGAGAAGCTCCAGGCATTGCAATTGCTGGCATTGCTGCTACCTCCTTCGGTTGCCCGCACTTTTTGCACTTTTCTCTTGATGCATAATTGTTGTTAGTGCAACCTATTGATCCATTGCCACACACACCCAACCCACAATGCAGCCAGGAAGATGAAAAGGACGCCACGCATACGCACACCAACCAGCCCATCCCAAACAAATACACATACAAAAAACACAAACCACTCAACCTAATTGATAGCAAATTCCACCAGAAGTGATTATAACTTTTATCAAGGAAACACTAGATGTGAGGAAAAGTTGATACCAGGAGAAAAATAGATGGTAAACGCCATACTGAAATTCCCATTCTCGACAAACAACAATACTTATTCGTACGAATCAAATGAGAAACATAAAGCGGTCTTGAAATCTGATATTACCAAATCAAATTGGCTGTTTTTGTTAATAAATTCTCCGAAAAGGTCAAAACTAGCTCATTGATAGATTTAACTTAATAACAATTTCAACGTACACTAACCGGTCCATCCCAAACAAATACACATACAAAAAACACAAACCACTCAACCTAATTGATAGCAAATTCCACCAGAAGAGATGATAACTTTAATCAAGGAAAAACTAGATGCGTGGAAAGTTGATACCAGGAAAAAATAGATGGTAAACGCCATACTGAAATTCCCATTCTCGACAAACAACAATACTTATTCGTACGAATCAAATGAGAAACATAAAGCGGTCTTGAAATCTGATATTACCAAATCAAATTGGCTGTTTTTGTTAATAAATTCTCCGAAAAGGTCAAAACTAGCTCATTGATAGATTTAACTTAATAACAATTTCAACGTACACTAACTGGTCCATCCCAAACAAATACACATACAAAAAACACAAACCACTCAACCTAATTGATAGCAAATTCCACCAGAAGAGATGATAACTTTAATCAAGGAAAAACAAGATGCGTGGACAGTTGATACCAGGAAAAAATAGATGGTAAATGCCATACTGAAATTCCCATTCTCGACAAACTACAATACTTATTCGTAAGAATCAAATGGAAAACATAAAGCGGTCTTGAAATCTGATATTACCAAATTAAATTGGCTGTTTTTTGTTAATAAATTCTCCAAAAAGGACAAAACTAGCTCATTGATAGATTTTACCAATAATTTCAACGTACTCTCTAAGCTGATCCTAGCACCGCACAGTTCATGCACAAAACAACCTCTAATTTGTGTGAAAGTAAAACCCCTTGTTTTGAAATCTAATTAGGACTAAAACCCTAAACCCACGCCATTAATATCCCAGAGAAAAATCAGCCTAACGGAGTACGCCCATATTTCTCTTTTTATTACAGAAAAATATGTATCTAATAAAACAA